TTCCATTGTTGAAACTGAACTGAACTTTAAAGGCACATCGTAAAAATTGCTCTTTTAAGTGATTAGTCGGCAAGCTTACATCTATCTTATCAGAATCAATTTAATTACATATGCAGCATATAGTTTCGATTAAATGTACACGTATGAATGGAGAACTAATGTCAAACGAGAACATGAGTTTTCCGGAAGTGTTAGCACTTTTAATACTATTAATAAATTGAAAAGCATTATGAACAGAATAGTTGGAATTTTATCTTCTGACTGCTTCGATGTTTTCGCCCGCTCATTGGGCGGTTCGGTGGTAAGATAAATTGGCCATACCAAAAACAGGTTTACTTAAGTAATCACTTAAGTATGGGGTTTTTATCTCTTCATTCTTCAGATTTTTAAGACTAGTTAGTTTTTTTCGATTTGTGGTGTTTCGATTCTACCCCTCCTATAGGTTTGGAACATTTAGTATCATCTTCCAGGACTAACAGTATTTTGTTCAAATCATACTGAAGGTCGAGGAGTACCGTATCATCATTGTCAGGTTTCCTTGGGATTAAGTGTGTATTTCCTTTCAGAAGAATTAGCTGATCTATATGGCTTTTAATGTATAAGTTACTATGACAAAATTGTAAGTTAATGTACCCATGACAGTACTCAACACACTGTAGACTTCAAATTCTAGAATCTTTGTGAAGATGTTGGAACGAGTTCATGAATCTGATTTACTAGATTTTCGATTTGTATTTGTATATGAATTCTGTTGATTTTATAGGTACAACTACATAATTTGGGACCCGATAATAAGATCTGCATTTGGGTTGATGAAAGTTTGATAGCAGAGTCAATAAATACATATTATTCGGCATATCCAGGAAAATCCTTTACGTCTACGTGGTTCAATGTTCAAAAATATTTAAGTTAAGCTTTGTGATTGTTCTTCAGTGACAGTAAAAATATAATCATCAAACTGTTTACGTCCATCTAACGATAATTCATATAACGTGTGACTTCTCAGAGACATGTGTTTTAGTTCAACTAGTCTATAAAAGTTTCGGCTGAAAACGGCTATCCAAGTAGCTTTATAGAGAAGATGAAAAGAAGTCGGAGCAAGAAGTGCGTTAATTCTGTTTTAAAGAAATATATTTATATGAATCTGGAATTTAAAGGTGACCAAACTTCTGATGTAGTTAAAAATCGGTCAACGGCAGCAACAAAGCTGCTCTAATGGAGCAAGGTACATGAGCCGCAGCCAGAGTTAGCTTTCAACTTAGGTACTAGAACATATCCTAATGTGGTTCTACACAGGTGAGATGAAAGGGGTTAGAAGTTCCATTATTGACCACTTTATCGGTTCCAATCATTCCACTAAACCTCAGGTTGGTAATACAATTTGTTCAGATCTACCTATATTTCTTAGTATCTAACTCCTTAAACAGCAGAAGCTCTTTCCCTCCATGTTTATTCTTTATTCATTTCATGTACATTCGTCACTTTCCAATAATAAACACTGTGTACAGGCGGATACAACAGATAAAGAACATCGCATTAGATAGGGTAGATGAATATGAAGAGATTAGGTTCAGTTTAAATATTCAAGAATTTGTCTTTCGGGTAACCTGCAAATAATATGTTTTTACACTTATCGTAAACAATGTTTTATTTTTGATGAGTATGTACTCCAGTTATTGGTCACTCTTCGTGTTTCAGACTATTTTCAACAAGGTATTACGCGCTTATATATTATATGTGATGAAGCAATTCACAAAAAAGACCTGTACCCAAATTATATGCTCTTTGTACCTGATTAGTAAAACATGTCGTCAATCTAGTAGAAACAGATGTTTCCCCACTTTGTTGCTGAGCCAACTGAGTCATAATTCACTTTCTATAAAACTGAAATGATTATACTAACCAGTTAGTGTAGTGATCTGACATCGGTCAGCACTAAAAACTAGGCAACATGACTTTGGTCCCTACTTAGTAAACAATTAATGTTATATAAATAATAGTAGATTTTCAACTTACACTATGTAATATGTGGTAATATATTTGAACTCGTGATAGTTTTCGTAGAGGAGTAGAGCTATTTTATCTAACCTAGTAATCATATGTTCCTTAATTAGTACTTTCGTAGTAATATATTGACGGATATTATGAAAATAAATCATTAAAACAGAAAACATAAATCCAATGCTATAAAAAAGTACACTTGTTGAGAAATTGTTGTATATTGTATTGATACACCAAGTGTTTGTATCAATTCTGAATAAACTCGGTTAACATACCGGGATTTTCTAAAAACTTTTCTCTATTAGTTTTATAGTTCGTTTAAACATGAGCTACCTTATAACTCATGCGATCATCAATATATTACTTTCCTATAATCAACCACAATTTCTAGAATAATAACTTCTCTTGGAAATAATAGAGAATTAGTAGGAACAAAAAGTGAATTATTCTAGTTATCAAGAACAGACTTTAACAAAACTTAAAGAAATAAATCTACTGAGAGATAGCTCAGTAGTTAAGCATTAGAAACTCAGCCACTAGGTCGCATGTTCAGGTCTCGTTTCAGCTACTTTCATTTGCACCAAGAGGTTTTGTCATTAGCCGTCAAAATTAAGGTGTGAATTGAAGTCAGTAACGCTAACAAGCACTAACTGCATTGAAACAAGGGATTTCCGAGTTTTTTGATGAATGATATCACTAGTGTTAATTCTGAACTTAATAGTTTACATTTCAATTCGAATCATTATATGATGTGGTTCTGTAGCTTTTCGACTTTACATGTTCAAGACAGATATTAATTAATTACATCAGGTAGTCAATCATATAGTACAGTGATCTGAATTAAGAACAAGTTGATCATTAGATCCTAACTTGACATTCGAATGATATTGTATTCAAAACGGAATCTAAGAGGTTAAAATTAAGTCATTAATGAAGAGCTAGAATTATTATTTAGTAATCTTTTATTTCGAACAACCTCATAAAATGAATGATTATATTACAGAACTGTATATTAGTTGAGGAATGGTAACAATAATCGCAGTTGTTTCTTCTGTTACGAAGTTTAAATATCACAACGATCTGTACTCAGAATAAAGTTTTGACAAGAATTTTTCTAATTATTTAGTGATAAAGATGTCGGAAATACTTTTTAGTAGAGTTTACTGGAAAACTATGTTTTTTAAGTATTTACGACTGTTTATCCTTTATGGAACTAAAATTTCTTACCTTACGTACACTTCGGTACATTTTCACCGATCCTTTTCTAGGGCAATAAATGAATCCGTGGTATCTAGGATATTTGGGACATTACTCCATCCTGAGGAATAGTCACACAGTAGAGATCACATAGATCATACTTCATGTTTACTAGTTATTATGGCATTTTCTGTGCGGTTTCTGACCAATCTGTTTAATTCGACAGTTCAACGACCGCATTCTGAAAGACATTTGATCCCAAATCAGATTTCAGTGAATCTTCCCAATAAGAAGCTTCCACCTGTTAATACGTGTGTTGAGAAATTTATTTGATAGCAGCCCTTCGTAGTGAACACGACAAACCGCAATCTATCATATAAATGCCAAATAAAGAATATTAAATCAGTCAAGATCGAATGTAATTGGTTTTAGGAATAGGACAGAGAATTCGGATGACAGTTAACTTCACTGCGCGTTACGCTGAAGCTATTATATTAGCATTAACCTTTTATTGGAAATTAAGCAACACATTTGACGATATACAACTGTTTATGTGTAAGACTAGCTATTTTTAATTGAATATGAAAATCCGATTTTCGTAATAGTTCTTACTGACATAAACGTAAAAATGTAAGTGTATCAGAAAAAGCAACAACTGTGGGTGGTTAACAAATTTTTAGGTGAGTAGAATCAGTTTACAATGAGTATTAGTTATAAAACTTGTAAGAAACTGTATCTAGTTTTGTTGTCATTATGCAACCTAAAATCGATAACGGTCCCCAGAGTGAACTCAAATATTTAAGATGTGATTCTTTAAGTAGTCTAGTTACATAACCTTTGACCCCAAGAAGTAACTAAGGTAACTAGGAATGAAAATGTCACTCTTAAAATGCAACTTTTATCATACTGATTATTGAACTTAATTTGTTAGGACACTATGAGATGCAAACAATGCTATCTCTTTTTTATCAGAATGGGGTTTGTGATAGTTGAATTCATGAGTCAATGTAAGCTAGACAAGCATTGAAAACCTAGGAGCACTGAGTGGCCTTTTCATCCTAGTATGGAACTCCTCAGCAGTGTGCATCCACGATTCTTCACCAAGGGGGCTTAAACCCAGGACCTTGGGTCTCGCGAGCGAACACCTAACGTCTAGAGACAGGTATCTAACTCAAGTAGTGGGTGAATGGGTGCGCGAGACCGTGGATTGGTCGAAGTTAGACATTAACATCGTTGGATGCGGGCTTAGTGGTTAAGCGTTTGCACGCGAGACTAAAGGTCCCAAGGGTTCGATTCCTTTTGGTGCAGTATCGTGGATGAGCACTGCTGAATCCCATACTAGGACGAAACAGCCATCCAGTGCTTCCAGGTTTTCAGTGGTGGTCTAGCTTACATTGAATCATGAATTCAACTGTTAAAATGCTATATTTTGATGGTGAGCAAAAAGCAGTAAGCGATGAAATACTTTGGTACTGTTCATACTAATCATCTGAAAACTATTATCGGTGTTTACGTAATCCAACTTGTGTCAGTTAGAAATTTATATTTGGAAAGCAAAAAAATAACTCATGCATTCCCAACAGACTGAACGTTTTGATCCTTATTACTTAACTCAATTTGGATAGCTTGACGATTTCATTTGCCTAAGCACCCTAAGTAATACAACTCTGATTACAAGAAAATAGGCCCTTACCAGGTTATTTGTAAATCACTTCGAAAAAGAAAATCCATATGATATGACGCAGAATTATTCATTGGGAAACAGCTTATTATTGAATTGTATCAAGTAAGAATAAAAAATATCCATAAACATGAATTTTTATTTCAATTGAAGACAAAACGCCGCTTATTGAACAAGAGGGTGTACAAGTCAAATGAAACGAACAGAAACGACGAAACATAATATAAAAAATAAACTACGCAATATACTTGTGAATATTTGTGGATGTAGTGTACATCTAAATTTCTTTTATGAAAAGACAGGAAATAAATGAATAATCCTTAGAGTAACATTTATACACAGTTGACGAGAATTTAGTGTTAATATTCTTTTACAAAACTCTAGTCATCTAATTTGTTGAAATCCTGTGATACGGAAACTAGTTCATTTTGGCCAGAGCTATCTGTATTGAGTGCATCAGTGAACGTTGTAGAACTAAGCCATGGATCGTTAAAGCAATCAACAGCTGATGGGCGATCTCTGAAAAGGAAAGGAGGATGGGAATTAATACATAATTTCAAAAAATTCTGATTTTACGGTTTTCTTATGGGATGGTGAAGAGAAAAGTGTAAGACAGTAATTTTATATTACGAAGAACCATTTTCACGTTGAAACTTATTTAAATGACATCATATCTTAATAGAAATGACACACAATATCGAAATAATTGGATTAAATGAGAAACCATGTGTTTTCAATGGTGACATGTCAAATAACTGAGACGGCTGAAGACCCTGAATTGATGGATAGAAGTTAAGTTACTTTAGAGTAGCCTTTTCAAATTTTGGAAAATTATAATATTGTATGAATCAATGGAGATGATTGCTGATTAGTAATGTCCCGAATCCCCAACTTTTATGATTGTATAATAAAATGAGAACTACTGAGTCTTATCACATTAACTACAGTTAATAGTTATAAATCAATATGAGAAGCAATATCATCAGTTCTCAGATATGCAACATTGATCTAAACCGCCAATGACTGTTAAAATGTCTTATTTATAATTATTTATTTGAACAGCTCTTTGGATTTATTTATTTGAACACATGAATATTGGTACAATGAAGTACCAAATATATATGCGCCACATAAATCATTCGATCTTTGCGAGGGCTAGGATACTGCCCGCATGTCTAAACCGAAGCAGGTGGTTTTCTTAGAAAGGCCACTCATCGAGCCTTTGACACAAAGGTTCAATACTCAACACATAGGTGGACCAACGTTAGGAGATGTAGTCCCATGGTAGCCCGTGACCGACAATTGGTTCATACATAATTTGTTCCTTCAAAATACTAGAGCCGATGTGCACCACCGGTTTGGAATCAGGGTTTTTCAACTCTTCCAAGTGGACCCCCCGTGTCCACCAGCCCGGTTAAGGCACCGGACATTCGCTTTTCGTCCTCTCAACTTCGTAAACAACACCACTGCAACGAGAAGGCAGTGGATAGGACTTTCCTAGCAGTGGCTTTATACGCGTGGCCATGTGAGAGCATACTCTCCCCACCCTCGGTTGTACCAAGGCATTTGGGGCGCTCTCGCACACTAAGAGGGAACACATTCATACACGTTATTGCTTGGCCTACGATCCATTGAGGGAATCTTTTAAATAAATGAATAATAGCAACGTTTGCAGCTGCTGGTTGTTATTCGTGCTTAAGAAAGGAGATGACACAACACAGGTTTAACGCAATTAGCTAAGGTCATGTGAATTTTTAGAATCGATCATAAAAGTAAAATAAAAATTTTCCAAACCTTGGATTCTTTTGGATTAAACGCTTTATAAAAGCAATTGCTTCCATAGAAATATCTTGGAATAAGTGGTCAGGATAAGAGATATTTAACTGACAAACGTTTAGAAACGTATGTTCTTTACTCTCGTTCCAGAACGGGCTTTCACCAGTTAACAAGTAATAAACAACAACGCCAACACTCCTAGAAAGAAAATACGAAAAATTAATTCGATTCATTTATCAAGTAAAGGTTTATGTACTTAGTTTCGAGCAACAACACTCCTTGTATGAGGGCTAGTAATATTAAAGACCTGCTAAAAAATTAGGTCAAGTGAAACTTGAACCTAAACCTGCTAATTGAATGCTAGGTGCCTTATCGTTAAACCATCACCGCCACCTCCTAAAAAAAGACTTACTGAGATTATCATAGAGATTAGGTTATAAAGACACTCCAAGTTGGTTGTACTAGAACTGATCGGATTAACAACGGTAAAGAATTAATCAATCTTGGTAGAAACCTGAATCGAAAATCAGTAATCTTTCATCATTATTTATTTATCTTATACACAAAATTTGTAGAAAGGTAACCTCTGAATAGATTACTTTCTTTTCATTACTTTTTTATTTGATAGTCTAATAATGTTGTTATGAAATAATTAACAAAGCATATTTTTGTGCCTCGAATATGAATCGAAGCATATTATATTTATGAAAATCATGAGAGAAAACTAGCAAGCGGTTCCTTATTTAAAAAAGAGAATAAAGTGGAGAAAAAATATAACAGGTTTAGAACAATCAGATACATATCATCCAAAGATAAAAATTGAATATGCCTGAATTCTAGTCATTAATTTTAAGCCATTCTATCAATCATCTTCAAGATCACAAAATTTAATAAACAAATAATATAAATGATACTTACCAAATATCTGTTGTGAGATGAATAGGATCATAGTTCAAAACTTCTGGAGCTGTAAAAAAGAAATAACCAGTCAGATAACTACGGATGATTTGTATAATAACAAACTCAGTTTGAAGTTTAATTAGTTTACCTGACATTACCATATACATTAATGAATTTACATGGATCAATGTGCTAGCGTTCGTAAATCAATAATGTAACATAACTCAGTAATCAGTAGAATTATAGTACTAAACTAAGATAACTAAACAACTAATAGATGGAGACTTTAACACTACATGATTACCTCCATCGGGAACTTGGGTTAAAGACAGTTCGCTAAATGTGTACACAGCAAATTGTCCTAAGAACTCTCAATAATAAGTCTAATTGAGCATAAATAGTCTAACTCAGACCATAAAGATATATTCGCAAACTAAGCTTTGAGGTACACTTATTGCTCGGTACTACTGCGTAGACAGAAGTTAACGATGAGTTTTAACTGACAGCTGATTAACACAAACTTAAATTCCTGGACCACTGTATTGAAACAATATAGAAATGCAGTACCTCTTGATAACAGAAATACTGACTTAATGATTACATTAGATCTTTTCAACTTCATTATTATCTGCCACAGATCTACGGGAAAAACGCCTAATGAACTTGTGTGGCATTTAGCTGACAGCTTTATCATTCAATAGTCGGAATCTATAAAGAACTTTATCTTAAAAAAATGGCCTGGCTTGTTAGTTCTATTATTTTTTTAAGAAATGATAAAATAAACTGTCATATACATTTTAGATACGCTGAATGCAAGCTGTAGAAGATAAAACACCACAATAAAACTAAAAATGTTGAAGTCTGAGATTAGGTACTTTCATTAACAGTTAATCAAATTATTAACTAATTTGAAAAATCAGATTAGCTGAAGGCGGGTCGATCACCAATAAACTTACATTTTCTATTCAAACAAAGTTGTTAGTAGTTCTTAAATTAGCCAAAATAATAGTCTATTAAAATACAATCTAGTGTGGTCTGTATATTATGTTCGTCTACAGTAATGCACAACAATACACTTAAAGTTCGAATTACGTGATTGTGGTCAAGTTGGCACTCCTAGCTAGTAAATCACCCTTCTGAAAACTCACTGCTTCCAAATGATTAATCCTCCTAATTGAAGTCATTATTTATTTATTCAAACACATAAACATTGGTACAATGAAGCACCAAATATATATGCGCCACTCTCCGTGTCCACTAACCCAGTTAAAGCACCGGACATTCGCTTTCCATCCTCTCAACTTCGTAAACAACACTACTGCAACGAGAAGGCAGTGGATAGGACTTTCCTAGCAGTGGTTCTATACGCGTGGTCATGTGAGAGCATTTCAGAAGGAGAGAGCAAACTCTCCCCGCCCTCGGTTGTTCCAAGGCATTTAGGTGTATTGTTTCTATTTCAAACCTTTTACACTGTTGAAACGGTCAAGTTTGGTCTGCCATTCACGGATTTGCTGCCTGGCATGTACCTGGTTTCGAGTTGGACTGCATGTACGCTGGCTTAGTGGTAAATATCCTAGGCTGCAGCGTTAAGCAGTTTTATGCATTTGGAAAATCAATGTGTGGGATTATTGGCGTACAACTGTGAGCGGTGGATCACTTGGCTCGTGTGTCGATGAAGTGTACAGCCAACTATGTGAATTGAAGTTACTATCAAACTAAAAAAATATATTTGTTGACTACAGTAAAAATGAACTTCGAACAGAGTTTTCTCCAGCTAATATTTTACTATATCTATCAGCTAAATTAGTCAAGATGAAAGGAATGAGTACCAAACATGAAATTTATATAACAAGATTTCCAGGTAAAGGAACAAAGTAAAACTCAAAACAAAGATGTACGTGTGTGGATGAAATATACGTAAGAACACTTACCAGCATAATCTGGTGTACCTGCAAGGTCTCTGATAACTTCGTTTGTCCGCAAATGCTTGGCTAGGCCGAAATCGCACAACGCGATGTCACATTGAGGAAGAGGAAGTCGGAGAAGAATGTTTTCAGGCTTAATAAGAGGTCAATGTTAAGAGTATGAGTTTGTAAAATAAGTATTTGGAATACAAGTAACTGAATCAAACTAAAATTAAGAGTGTAGTTATGGAATGTTCGAAAATTTTTAATTTATACTTGCGATTATACAAGAGACTGCAACGGCATACAATTCCTAGAAATTAAACATCGCTGTCTAGTTGAAATGTCTATTAAGTTTTTAGTATATGTATAAGCCTTGAAATTTCCCAGTGACGGTTAAGAACACTTAAATCATTTCGCTTGGGACACTGATTATAAGAACATGGCCAACATCAGGACCAAGTTACTTACTCATTTAGGTGATAAATAATTGTCAATCAACTATAAACTAGAACGGTATCAGAGTTTTAAATATATTTTGACAAACAACCTGTTTTATTACCAGGATGTACAGATGTCCAGTTTCCTCAGAAAGTTAAAGTTAAACAATCAAAAGGATGCCTTGTTTACAGACTTTTAATAAACCACATACACACCAGACAGTAGATTATTACCGGAAAACCAGGTGCATCATTATTTTTGATTACATCAAAGAGATTGAAATGATAAAAATATTATTGTGTGTATGTGAATTAATAGCTCGGAGTCCAGTTTGTCTTTTACGGATTGTAATAAGGAAAAAACAATCGCCTGTCACGCAGTATCTTTTAAAGAGTTATTGTTTTAGGTCATCGTTACGTAAGTCAATGAAGCAACTTACCTTGATATCCAAATGAACGATCGATTTCGAATGCATAAAAGAGACTGCTTTGAGAAGTTGCCGAAGTATTTCAATAACTACATTTTCAGGAAGCAACTCTTCACTGTAATGGACATAATGATAGAGATCTCCATGCAAACAACTGAAAAGCAGTTGTAAAAATGTTGGACCATAAGTTAGAATATAATGTTAAATTTTACAGGGTGAAAATTTTAAAAGAATAAGTCCGATCACATAGGTATAGTGTAGTATTCTTGTTATTGGAGGAAACACTCCTACCACATACGAGAGTAGAACTCCCCTGATGGTTAGTCAGTCAGTTAGCTACAACGTAGGACCAGGCACATATATGCATCAGTCCAAGTCGCCACACCTCATTATCACAACACGATGAACGCCGAATTCATAGTAGTTACTCCAATGGTATTAATATATAAAAGGATTGCATATAAGAATATAATATAGGAAGACAGAATTAGTTCCCTGAAAGATTGTAGACACACGGACGTATGAAGACATTTTGAGGAGATGGGATTATAAACACCCCAGATTGTGCCGAGAAATCTAGAACCCAAGACGTTCAGAGGTATGGTCATAAGACGTAGAAAGATGATTTCTGGTTTCCTTATTACTACTATTATCATTTTACAAAACTTTACATAAGTACTCCTGAACAGTATATGCTCAGTTAAACAGGTGTTCAATTGGATGCGGGAATATTAAGGTAATATCTGTCAAAATATGGATTTACGAAGCACAGATTATGAAACTATATACTGACACATAACAACAAAAACTATTTCAGTTTAATTACAATAAGCGTATTATTTTAGCTGGTGATTGATTTCATGCACCACGATCACGAGTGATTAGGGGAGTTAAAAATTTTATTACATGGAAAGCTGAACTAAGAACGTTGAAATCATTTTTCCAACTCCAATAATTAAACGTAACGATCTCAACCTTGTGAGTGTCTATTGAACACTTAAAACGGGTACAGTTAAATCACAACAGACAAGTGAAGAAATGATAATGGCTAGCAGTGAAATGTAGGATGTCAAGTAGATAACGCGATGGCGTTTGAAGTGAGTGGCACTGGGTTCGAGTAACAGAGTCAGCAATAAATCTGGGATGCAATCCAGTTGACGAGTTTTAAATAGAACGAACGTTAATGTTTCAGTGAATTTATTGTTGGTTATCAAATAGAAAACATAGCAAACCATGATTATCAATACGCTCCGAGAATTCGCTGAATACATTAACAGTGCAGTAATTTAAATAACTTGGAACGATAGTTAATTTTTCAGAGGTAACAGAGATGACTTAATCCTTACTAGCTGAATAAATAGTGCACTACTGGGATGACTAGGACACACTCACAACTTTCCTAATCCTTCAAAAGTAAGAACGCATAATACTGTCTACAACTACATAAACTTAAACGAATCAATTTTAGTGAATTGTGAATACAGTACGATACGATCTGTCAACCAGTAATAAATTTAGATTCTGATTCAAAATATCCACATTCTTGGAGACAGATTCACTTACTGAGATAGCTTACGACCATGATCGGTAACTTTTGTGGAGACGAGAAGACTTGGTTTGTAGTTAATAATCAGGATTGTCTCGTGCTAACAAGATCCTAGACAAATCATTATCCCATCCTTTGACTAGGAAGCCACACGTAACGTTACTACCACGAGCAATTGATCACCCGACTCAGAGGATTTATAAAAACGACAATATAACGATACTCAAACACTAGACAGTGAGATTAACTAACCGCTTCGATCATGAAAGGGTCAGTAAAACATATTAAAGTGCCTACATCGTGGATTACTTAATTACAGGCAAATGTAGACCGACTTAAAAAGTTGTATTTGACACAAAGTTCTAAAACGACTGCTTACAAATATTAGAGGCACTAAAATCACCAAAATGTCCAACCAATACCAACTACTTCTCATTACACAAGGATGATAGCACACCTCTCACATTTTTCATATGTTAAACGATAATTTCGTTAGTGCATACATTTTATGAGATAACAAAAATATATACTGTTTCGGTAAGTGGATCAAAATGCTAGGATAACAAAAACTTAAGCCGGACATATATTCCAATATTATTTTTAAGTAAAGCAAGCACTGCATGACTTCAAATTACCGCCTATGACATACTTCTCCAGTAGTAGTACAACTTCTTTGTCACCAACATAATAATGCTTCATTTTTACAATATGAGGGTTCTGATGACCAATTTTCACCATATCTATCTCTTGCATTATGCTTGCCAATGTATCTTTCCCACAGCGCCATCTTCTTATTATTTTAGCTGCAGATACTTCTCCACTTTCACAATGTCTAACTAAAGAAACTTTGGCGAACCTTCCTCTGTAAACAGCAAAAATATAATTCCATATAGAGACAATACCAACCTTCCAATTTCCGTTTCGATCCTGTATTCAGCAGTAAAGTTCTCAGTTTTATGCACACTTTTAAATGTTTGCCCATTTGCGTACGCCGTCTGTACGATGCAAGACATACACAATAGTTGGGACGCCGATCAGGACGATGATTAAAAACAAATTTGAATATCCGCCAACCGATTGGAATATCATAAACAAACAGTTGGCGATACATCTAGGACCATAACACCTAAAAATGATTTCACTTACAAAAAATGGCAGAATGAATGATCAAATTTTGTTGTGTTATTGTAAGCTGTTTACACTATTCAAATTCTGGTAATTTTGTACGTTTAAAATTCTTAAAACTTGTAAACAAAATTATAAAAAGTTAATTATGTGCAAATTTGACGTCGCTTTAAAAAATATTGTTGTTTTGACTGTCTTTAACTTGTGGATAACTGCACAAAGCAGTAACTTATCCGAAATTCTCTTTCTACTAATATTCAAACTTACATCCACATTGTGTAAATACTAGGAGTTTCCGATTTTGCCCATTATTCAGATTTAACCGAAAACTATCCTATGTTCTCTCGTCTTATTTCCTATGTAGCAGCCTTGAGTATGTACTCACAAAAGTTGAGAGTTACATCGTCCTTCCATATCTTGATAATCGACTTCAATAGGGTCAAAATCTTGAAGTAGCTTTTTCTTATTCATTTTTCTACTCAACACAGGTGAATGCATAAGAAGTAATAAAATGATATTATACTCTTTTAGGTTAATCCAAAGCCATTTGTTGCACATTAACATCACGAAGCATTAAGAGTCAGTCTTATCTTTTAATAAATAACGGTAATAAAAATCCAAGCCACTATTATGTCTGACGTACGAGTAATGTTTTTCTGCTTCCGAATGAACTGGGTAAAGATAATTTAGCGTTACTTTCATGAGTAGAATATCACGTCCTTACAATGAATGAAATACGGTGTCATTAACAATATCTGATTGCTGAACCAAAACAAGACAACGAACAATGGCAAGTGAATCCGTTTATTCAACAATTAGAACAACACATATAAGCGAACAATTGTTTTCAATTAGATCGTCATCAGGCTTTACTCTAATATACATGAATATTTATACGAAAATTTTAAACCAATCAAGGCAATATGAGTCAATAATCACAATGAAATAGAATAAGTCACTACACATAATAGGTAAAAGTACATGTTTATAGTACGAAGACAGGTGAACAGATAGTGGTAAGAATAATAAAATACAATAACAAAGCTCTTATCAATAGTTAATCGTTGGAAATAGAAGGTCAAATAAACATGGGTAAATAGACTAGGAATAGTAATCACAAGACATTAAAAATCATTACGTAATAAGATGTGTGTAAATAATTAGATAGTGAAGAATACAAAGAGGCGGATAATGACAAAGCTCATCCACTGGTACAACAACACTGACAAGATGTCAATTACAACTGTCTAAACTTTAACGATAAGAGTAAATCTCTCAATATTTTCGTTGAACATTCCTGTTAACTCTATATTCAATTCACAAACTGCAGATCCCACACGATAAAACCATAAACATTCAAAATATGGTTACATTTTGGTCGGAAAATGGAATGCCGGAACGACCAGGAAAGGTAGACGGTTCAACACCTTACATACGGTGACAATTTCCAATCGAATTATTGAGAGACGATTAGCTTGAATGTGATGATATGCCTTGTCTCCTTGCTGAACTCAGGGAAGTTGAGAGGACGAAAAGCGAATGTCCGGTGCTTTAACCGGGCTGGTGGACACGGGGGGTCCACTTGGAAGAGTTGAAAAACCCTGATTCCAAACCGGTGGTGCACATCGGCTCTAGTATTTTGAAGGAACAAATTATGTATGAACCAATTGTCGGTCACGGGCTACCATGGGACTACATCTCCTAACGTTGGTCCACCTATGTGTTGAGTATTGAACCTTTGTGTCAAAGGCTCGGTGAGTGGCCTTTCTAAGAAAACCACCATCCTAGCCCTCGCAAAGATCGAATGATTTATGTGGCGCATATATATTTGGTACTTCATTGTACTAATGTTTATGTGTTCAGATGAATAAATAAATTACCCTACACACCACATCCTTGTAGCTCACCTTTTTCTGATTAAATATCATGTCACACTTCATCGAATAAAGGTAAAATGCTTGATTTTTCCGCTTTGCTCTTATTTCATGTTTTTCATTCTGAATATCTGTTCGGATTGATGAGTGCACAAAATATATTTACTCGAAATTCATTTTCAAGTTTAACTTGTTCGGTTCCATTATTCATTTATGTAATACATACGTTGGTAGCTGGGATATATATATATCAACAACGTTATCGACAATGTCGTCATTCCACTAGCGGATTACTACTTCTTCCTTAATTATTTTATCGAGTCTCCTTCTCAGTCTCCACGTTTCGATAAAAATAAGCACTTTTCTCACTGTACAGATGTGATTTCATTTTTTTCCTTGTTTTTGAATTTTATCATAAACGTTTTAATCAAGATAACACCGGAAGAATTATTTTACCAAAAATGTTAGCGTCCGGTAATTTAATGCCCTTTCATTCAAGCATAGATGAGGCGCACTTACTAACTAAGAAAGGATTGTCCACAAAACCACCCTTCTCTTTCCTTGACATAATATTAACTTGTGATGAAGAGGAGTGTTTGAATTATAGTACGAATTAAAAATTCCAGAAATAACACAATTTCATCAAGAAGAACTATATGAGCAGGAATGAACGTATTGTATTTGGAATTCGAAATCAAACAGTCACCAAATACAAAATAATCATTAGTTCATACAAACCTCATATCCGTCTAAGTTTCTGTAATCGATTGTACGTCTTCTCCTTGTGTTCATTATGTGTCTGATCGACAGTGTATTGGATGTAGACTCTGCATGATCTAGAATGTACATATTATTATTAAAATTAACAACTGCAGGGGGGACGGTATAAACTGAATCCTGGAATTGTATACAATCACTATGTCGACTGTGTGCTAAACCCATAGATATCTAGAATTCGAACCGTATATATTCGGACACTATCCTCTCCCACGAAATAATGTTGGGTCTTTATATCCTCAAGCTATGAATAAAGTGGCTTTATTTAAAACATATTTCTCACATTGACTAGAGTATTCATTATAAGTGACCTCATGACAAAGATAGATAACAAATGATATTAAATCATCCGAATTGTAATCAAAGTCGAACTCATTTAGTGCTTTCTAGTGAACAAGTTTCTCTCAAGAAGAAAATGCATTATGAGGATAAATAACATAGGATATGACATCAACATCTGATTCTTTTGAAATATTTTTCTGAAATTTATTAAGAATGTCATTAAAGAGTAATGGACCATTACAAAAGTCAGCACTTATCAAAACTGTATCAGATTTTCAAGCATGATTTGATCCATTCAACATATTCTCCTCAGGTGAATAAGAAATTTCATGAAAAATATGTGAATAGTTAGGACAAACCATACTTGGTACAATGAAATGAGAAACCCGATATAAAGTTGATTGACTGGAAGCTTTTGATTTACAATGATTCTAAGTTTCGTCTAACTATGAACTGCTTTATGATTCGATACTGTTTTCCGAAGTCGTGGGTGAAGATAAATGATCACTAGAAACACTCGAATCAAAAGGACCAAAATTACAAAGTTTTTACTAGTTGCAGCAAAATGAACAGTAGTATCACGAACTGGTAGATGTGTCGAAACTCACCACATTAAAAGCATTTAGAACTACGAAATACACTTGAAATAAGTGAGTGAAACTTGCCACAGGACAAATACTTACCAAACTTGTACTCATCTTCATGACCTGCACCACATTTCCCCGATGAATTATCTACATAACCTTAAGTACGCATGGACTGAAATTACGTAGTAATGTAGTAGAATATTTGATGTCCTGATGGATCATTTTACGAGATTTTCCTCCTTTACGTAGTCTAGTAGTAGTTTCTTGAGAGTTGCACAAGGGAGTGAGATCTGCTTGTCTAGAAATACCAAAGATTTTATTAAGCTGCATGCTTGCTTTCCGATTAACGTAAGGAAATGGGCCATAATGTTGACGTCCTCAACATCTTCCTTGATCGTAGGCCAGATTTCGAACATTTTCATGTAATCCTCAAAATCTGAATGTATGTCCAATTGTTCCATCACAGGCTCCAACATGATGGCTTAAAGTATAGTACAAACTAGGAATCCCATGAATGACGCAATTTAATCAAGAACTATATGTGCAGGAACGAACGTGTTGTATTCGGAATTCAAAATCAGGCAGTCATCAAGTGCAAAGAAACCATTAGTTCATACAAACACCACATATCTGGATCAACAAAAAGTATTTAATGGTCAGTGAGCAAGACACATGTGTGTATTAAAGGACATCATTAAAAAGAAAAAAACAAGTCTCGTCTCGGAAATCATTGACCCCGTACTTTCATTGTCAATAATAAATAAGTGAAAAGTGAATACGTTAGTGATTAGTTTGCTCACTAAACTTGATGGACTGTTGAAGGCAGTAGTAAGCGAGAATGATTCAGTTTTCCTGTCCAAATAAGATAGTCCTTACCCGTCATCATTAAGTGTTTTGGTTGTATAATCCTTGTAATTGTCACAAATCCGAAGTGATTTTTGGGTTGTTTATCTGTCTAAGTGAATTAGGAGTTTTGTGGCCTTAAATCTGACTCCATTCGGATTGCATGAATGATTGTCATCGAAATACACATGTCGGCTATCCTCGTATATAATCATCGACTTAATCAATGTTAGTGAATAATGAAAACAAATACGTCAAATACGATAATGGCTTTGAATATGTATATTTCATGCACGCATTGGTTTGAACAGGAAATCAAGGAGACGAAACAAAGAGGGAAGCAGATTGAAAAAGACAAGCGAGACATAAATACCCAAACAAAAATCCGTTACAGATACATAACGAATAGAGTAAGTAATTAACACATATCGTCACATAAAGATAGGCTAAATAAGCTAAGGGAAAGGTTAAAATGTGGCTTGAAAAGAATGAATAGATTGGTTTGTTCAGAAAGTAGAATAGCCCATGTAAACAGCGATGTATTTGTGAACGATAATCAGTGGGTCATGTTTTGTGTTCACAAATCAGAAAAATAAAGGGTCACGTTTCTTGAACGACAATTTTACAGGTAATAGTGGTAACTGTACATATTGAAGTAATTGATGAAAAGTGCAAATATTACCAAAA